TTACTGGCGCTATTACTGTAGTTGTCTTTACGGTTGCTGTGAGGTACGGTTAATGGTCTAAGCGTGCGAATCTGTCACGACTTGGTGAATTCAGGCGCTCGTCTAATTTTGGACATACAGAATTACTGGTACAATCCTAAAGCCTGTTCATGTATCTTGCATTACATGACAAAGATACCCATTCATCTTGAACAGAAGTCGAGGTATCTGCGATTGAAGATGGAGGTGATTGCTCAGTGCCAGAGGTTATTTTAGAGAGAAAATAGCCACCAAAGTTTGATAACATCGAAAGCTTGAGTGCCCATGGAAACGGGAAATTTACTTCTTTTTTTTGGGGGGGGGGTGCATTTGATCAACGGTTTTCAGTAAAGTTCACTCGGAAATGTGCTTTTTAAATGACATGAAAGGTGTTGAGCAAAAAGAAAAAAGATAGAAATTGCCAATTAATCGGAAAAATGCCACTTTTTTCACTTTCATTATAATTTTGAGGAGCTCCTGTTTCACAATGGTGCCACACAAGTAGCTGTCCGTGCACAAGAGGGCGCAGCTCTTTGTCTGTTGGGTGTCCATCGTAAGCCACAATCTATCTGACGTAAAGATGTTATCTTTTCTCCATGCTTCTTTTATTTTCTTTACCAATCGATCTGTAAATAAAGAGTTCAAAAGTGGCGCTGGTAGCCTAGTGGTTACGCTACCGGACTCGTAATCGGTAATCGTGAGATTGCGGGTTTGGGGGTTCAAGCCTCAGCCCCGTCCGACGTTGTGTCCTTGGGAAAGTCACTTTACACGAATGTACAATTTGGCTCGGTCCTTTCGGAGACGGACGTTAAACTAGGAGGCCCCGCCTCTTAAATAATCTAATAGCTTTGATAGAGGCGTTAAACCCATATCATTTAACCATTTTCAGAGAGTTCAGTCCGGCAAAAAATAAAACCCTGAAACCACAAAGCACAGGACCGCTCGTTAATGATTTAATAAACTATTTTTGTGTCTGGTAGGGGTCAGTAATCACACAATACCCAGAAAAGGATATTATTATAATTTTAGTATGTGTCACGACTCAATTGAATCTGGCAAAAGTCAATTTTTTGGGGGATTGTAGAGTTATTGCTCTATCACCTTCAGGCTTCTTCATTCGCCTTACTTTTGATGAAAAAATACCCATCAATCTTGAATAAAAATCGGGATAGTTGTGATTGAAGGAAGTGGGAGTTGCCTAGTGTCGGAGGTAAGATTAGCGAGAAAACGGCCTCAAAAGTTTGGTGACTTTCAAAGTTTGAGTGTCCTTGGAGGCTGCAGATTTATTAATTTTTTTCGTTGTGCTTTTTAAACAAATGTTGTCAGTGAAATCAACTCAGAAATAGGCCTATGTATGACATTTATTTGGATGTGATAGACGACGAGCCAATTGTAAATAGAAATCGAGAAAAATTACTCAGAGGGTTGAAAATTAGTGTTGAATTTTTCGATTTCATTATTTTGACGAGCGCCTGTTTTTTCCACGATGTCTTACCGATGTGCCAGAACAGCACTTGCTATCATTCTCGATTTTTTACACGCCAAACAGGGAAGTGACAATGTGTTTCAGATCACACCTCAACGTGTTAATGCCAATGCGATTCTCATGAGGCGTAACAAACATGGCCGCAAGTAGTTGACCTGCCAAGGGGCGCAATTGGTCCCATGAGGTGTTTCCATTCCCTGTGAGGAAAATAAACTCAGTTATTCTTATTGATCCCTAGGAGGCGATCGATCAGATTCTATCGTCGGTTGGTAACTGGATCGTTTATCTGGGCGGGGTTGTCTTTAAAAACAAAAAATAAAACACAAAACCCCCCCACAAAAAACACCCCCAAAAAACCACAATAAACACTTTGTACTTTGAAAAAACAGCAGACTGTAGTATATTATGGTGGAACATCTATAGATGTTGTTACAGCGCCCCCTTTCCAAACACACACACACACACACATACACACATGTGCTTATTTCCAAGCGCGGTGTAGAACTCAAATAAACTGCTGCTAGAGTTGATAACTGAGATGTTAACTCTCTACCAATGTTTTATTTTCTTAATCAAGTCATCTGACTGGCTTCTGTGGTGTAGCTGTCCGGTGCTTGGTTGTCGCTCACAGGAGACCCGAGTTCGATTCCCGAATGGGGGAAAATGTTTATAGTGCATCTCGTTCTTTCTGCTGGGATGTTGTATCCCTGTCAGTCCGGGTTGGTCATGACAAGCAAGGCCAAAAGCCAGCCTTTTAAATTGTGATTTAAACTATGTCAATGGGAGCATAAATACACCACCTACGTTTTTAATAGAAGTCATCTAATGTATCTTTTGTTCCTTTTTTGGAGAGTTCAACTGACACAACTGGGACCTGCACGTATTTCACATGCTGCCGTAGGGTTCCCCAGCCTTGTGTTTTTTGTTTTATTTTGTTTTGGCTTTGCTAGCTTGTTGTTGTTTTTTGCTTGTTTGTTTGTTTGTTTGTTTGTTTGTTTGTTTGTTTGCTTGGGGAGGGAATGCGTATTCGTTTTGTGTGATGTGTACAAAACCCAGTTTTTCTGAGTGCTGTCTGATAATATGTTCCATCATCTCTTTATGACTGACAGGTGCACTGTGGTATTTTTCTTCACTCTAAGTATAAGGAAGGCTATTTGCTGCTTCCGTAGTGACAGTAGATGGTACTACCAGCAGCTGTTCCTACTGCCTTGTAGGTGCATACGGGAGTATGAAAAGCTAAGGGAGTAAACCCTAAACAAATCTGGAAGGTGGGGGGGGGGGGGCTTAGTAAGTCGACAGGGAGGAATGATCCAAACTATCTTCTAGCAGCCCCTGCAACTCTACTGATTCCAAATGCATTAACCCCGTCGCTCCTTTGGACTGAATCAGCAAAGCCGAGAGGGGATTCGTGCAAATTGGGAAAGGCACGTTCTCCATACAGTCAGGCCCAGGCATTTAGCTTTGTCAAGATTTCAAGACGCATTCAAAGAGTCACCAGGGGATGTCTTCCTCCGCTGGAGAACTGATGGGAAGCTCTTCATTCTTGCTTGACTCCATGCCAAGACCAAGATCAACAAAACAAGACTAAGAGACCTTCTCTTCGCCAATGATGCTGCTCTTGTTGTTCCCAATGAATCAACCCTACAAACGATGATGGACCTCCTATCAAGAGCATGCAAGGTCTTCAGCTTGGTCATCAGTATTAAGAAAACAGTCATCCTTACTCAAGAAGATGCAGAGCAGAGCCATATATGGCTGAACGACAAGGAACTTGACACAGTGGACAAGTTCTGTTACCTGGGGTCTACCATCAGCTCTACTACATAACTTGATTATGAGATCAATATCAGGATATTATGGAAAGCAACAACTTTTGTAAGGCTGACAAAACAAGATTGGGAAAACAAAGATTAACCAGCAAAACAAAGATCAAGATTTACGAAACCTGCGTCCTCAGCACATTCCTTTATGGATCTAAAACATGGACCTTGTTCAGCAGGGGGGCAAGAAAAGGGCCTCGACATTTTCCATCTCAGATGCTGCAGCAAGATCTTAGGCATTTCGTGGAGTGACAAGGTTACAAATGTTGAAGTGTTGGTACAGGCAAACCTCCAGAGCAGAGCTTGACAACTATCCTGTATTTATGAAGATTGAGATGGCTGGGCCATGTCAAGAGAATGGACGAAAACGGGATTCCGAAGCAACTTCTCTATGGAGAACTTGCCCAGGGAAAGAGATCAAGAGGAAGACCAAAATTGAGGTACAAAGACACCTGCAAAAACTTATCTAAGCTTGGAGTAACTGTTAGCATCTGGGAAGAAATAGCTGAGGACAGGATAACAAGGAGGAAAATGATAAAGGAAAGAACTATAATGCTAGAGAGCAGCTTTAGAAACAACCAGGCTGAGAAGCGCCAACGACGAAAGGAAAAACGCGGAAATACAGAGCTTCGATCCACGTCACTGACATTCAAGCACTGAGACAGAATCTGCACTTCAAACATAGGAAGAATTAATCACGACAGTAGCTGCATGAAGACAACCTTGAGACCATCTTAAGTTAAATTGACCATCTACATAGACGAAAAGAGTCATACATTCCTCCTTTTTACATAGTCAGTTTTGCCATCTAAGTTTTCAGCATCAAAACGTCCTTATAACTCCTCTCCTATTTAATCTATTCACATAAAATACACACAAAACTTAGTACACATGAATGATCCAAAGAATAAACATACAATCTAATTATATACATACGAGATGAATTTGCTGAGGTTTTGTAGATTCCTGCTATGACTGTTAACAATCGAGTGATTCCGTGATCCAGCTGAACTGGCGCACGGTGTGATAAGAGCTAAGGTTTCTAATAATAATAATAATAATATGCTTTTTCAAGATAAAATGTCGGTTCAACTGCACTGGAAAGTATCTATGTCATGCTTGGTTTATTTTACCTAAAGTTGAGATAATGTAGACTGGTTGAAATCACAGGCTTGTCCAGCCCAAGAACTATCACCATGCTAAGGTGATCAACTGATTCCCTTCTGTATTACTCCCAGCGGGATGTTGTCTTCCTGTGTAAAATTGATGTCATGTGCAATGACGAGACAATGATTATAATATTATAGCATTTGTATAGCGCAAATCCCCGCTCAACAGCAAGCTCTATGTGCTTCACAATCTATACTATTAGCATTACCGCAGCAGACCTGAGAGAATTCTGAAACAACCTCAACTTCATGGGAAGCATACAGTATAAGCGACCATTTACAGGCACTAAAACACTAACATACTGACAAGATCTTTCGCTGTCTGTGGCCGGGTACTCATTCCCACTTGGGTGAAGTGAGGAACATTCGTGAAAAGTGCTTTTCCCAAAGGACAAAACGTCGGGCCCGCGGCTCGAACCCCGAACCTCACGATTACGAGTCCGGTAGCCTAACCACTTGGCCACCGACGCCACATTAAACGTTTACATTCACTTTCTTTCCTTACAGTGGGCGCCGTACGTGTACCGGAGGGAGGTCAATGGTACGTTCGAGTACTACGGATTTTGTATTGATCTGGCCAACGAGCTCAGCAGAACGCTCAATTTCAGGTATGTGTGCTTTGTTACAGAGAAATAATAATGATAACAATAATAATAACAATAATAATAATAATAATAATAATAATAATAATAATAATAATAATAATAATAATAGTAATGATAATAATAATATAATAATAATAATAATAATTATTATTATTATTATTATTATCATTATTACAATTATAATAATAGTAATAGTAATAATAAAAATTGAAATATAAATACTAATACTAATACTAATAATAATAATCACAATAATAGTAATCATTATGATAATAATAATGATTATAATAATAGACTTTATATAGCGCATAACCACGCTCTACAGTATTTTTCTCTATTCGCTGTTCAACCAAATAAAGTTAATAGCTACTATACCCGTAGCGAAATTAGCTAAATTTCTTAATTCTTTTCTCTTTATACTCCTTGGTTTGTATTTTACTTTAATTGTGACAGTAAAAAAAGATATACATAACTGATACTGAATTTGATGGTTGGTCTTTTTCTAGGGGTCATTTTCAGATGTTTATGAAACAGTTTTGCTGGGTTTTTTTCTGGGCTGCTTGTCTTTGCTAATGTTACTGTTGCTGACTTCAATGCTGCAGTTTTTAATGAGTTTTTTAATTAATTTTTTTTTCTTTTTTTTTCTTGGGGGGTGGGGTTGTTGTGGTAAGTGTTTTACGGCGCTCGCAACACCGTAAGGTCATATAAGTTCGCGGGACACACAAAACCTTTTTCAGTTGGTAGGAAATTTTGATTTTTGCCCGGATGGCGGCCGATGCCCACTCTTATCGATTTTGGACCACCACCGGACCCTCGAGAGTTTTTGACCTTATCCCAGAAGGCTTAGTGTTAGATCTTACTTACAATAAGATCAGGGATGTTGCTGAAAGACATCAGTAAGAAGGTGCTAAGGAGTAGCAGTAGAAAGGCTGCAGAAAGGGGTCAGGATCCCAGAGGAGGGGCCAAAGGAGGTGAGGGGGTGGGGGCAGAAAGTGGAGACTAAAAGAGACGACAGAACATTGATAGAGAGCACGAAAGGAGGTAAATTGAGAACATTTTGGAGAAGAAAATTTCGGGTTATTTTCCGGATTCGAACCCAGGACCTATTGAATGAGGGGCGAACACCGTGACGTCTCGACCACGAATGCCCCAGCTGCTGTTTTAAGTTTTTGTCTTTCCTATTTTTTCTTGTTATCCCTTATTCTTCCAGCATTGCCTTCACTGAGCCACCAGATGGCGGTTGGGGTGCTGAGATTCCCAACTCGAACGGTTCCTGGACGGGAATGGTGGGCCAGGTGGTCAGACAGGTAAAAAACAGACTGAGTTGGAAAGTTTGATTCCGCCACCCCCTCCCCTCAAAATCTCTAGCACTCTTATTTAAAGGTCGGTTTTATTTCGACTTCGTAGGCACAATTCATATTATCATTTTGGAGGTGGGGTTCGGACAGGGCCAACCAGGGCTGACAGAGATACAACATCTCAGCAGAAAAATCGAGATGCTTGATAAAAAATAAAATGTATCTCTATTAGGGAATCGAACTGACGTCTTATGTTTATGATAGCAAAGTGCTTAACCGTTAAACTACAGACGCCGCCTTCACCCCCCCCCACCCCTTTCTCTCTCTCACACGCACTTTACGAAAAAAAAAAGACAAGAAAGAGTTTATAATAAAGAAAGGATATTTCTTTTTAAGACAGGTAAAAAGAATTGGGAAGGGGAATATGTTAAGAATTCTATTTTGGAAACGAAGATCTTGGTAATATGCTTTTTCAAGATAAAATGTCGGTTCA